AGCAGGGAGCCCGATGCGGGACTCGATCCCGGGACTCCAGGATCATGACCTGAGCCGAAGGCAGTCGCTTAACCAACTGAGCCACCCAGGCGCCCTCACCCTTTATTTTCTTAATTGAATAGAATATATCATTAACATCAGTTACCTCTTAATGCAACTGAAATTGGCTAAGATATTGTCATAATCTGGGAAAATTTGATGAAGATATATTACTAGTGTTTTTGAAACAAAGATGATAAGATTAACCTCTTTTAATCATTGGTTTCTTAATTGCTCTTTATTTTTTTTTTAAGATTTTATTTATTTATTTGCGAGAGAGTGAGAGAGCACACACAGAGGGAGAGGGAGAGGGAGAGGGAGAAGCAGACTCCCTGCTGAGCAGGGAGCCCGACGCGGGGCTCGATCCCAGGAGCCTGGGATCACGACCTGAGCCGAAGGCAGATGCTTCACTGACTGAGCCACCCAGGTGCCCCCTTAATCACTCTGTTGTGAGTCTACATTTCTCAGTGTCTGTGGAGCTGAGTGAATATAACCCTTGGCAAAAGAATATCAGATCCTGTCGCTTGAGGCAATTGCCATGAGCTTTGATTTTTAAAAGTTGAAAGCCTTAGTTCAATGATCTTTGAGAGATCAAGAGCTTTGGTTTCCTTTTAACCTGGTCATTTAATTGACATTGGGGAAGAGAATCACAGAGCCATATGCAGAAACAGATTTCCATCTTTTCTTTCTTGGTCTAATTTCAGCTGAAAGTCATTAAAACGTGTTATGAATGGGTCCTGGTCACAGATTCAGAAAACGCTGGGGACCAGTGGTTTTACGCAACTCTGTTGCTGCCCTCCCCCAACTTTTCTGTCTCTCTTCCTATGCTTGGGCTGAGGAAGCAGCAGTCTTGGTGGAGGGAAAGGCACGTGGGAGCTGTGCAGCCAGTGAGATCCTACTCTGGTTTTAGAATCATTGTAAGTGGGGCACCTAGGTAGCTCTGTCGGTTAAGCATCTGCCTTCAGCTCAGGTTATGATCCCGGGGTCCTGGGATTGAGCCCTGCATCGGGCTCCCTGCTCAGTGGGGAGCCTGCTTCTCCTTCTGCCTGTCTGCCTACTTGTGTTCTCTCTCTCAAATAAATAAATAAAATCTTAAAAAAAATAAGAATCATTGTAAGTTGAACACCTCTGAGCTTCAGTTTCTCATTTGTAAAGTTTCATGCAGTCATTCAGCGCATTGTTATCTACTACATAACATCATGACAACTACTATTTACCAAGTGCTCATGTTATAGAGTATTGTTTACATTATCTGATTCAATACTGAAACAACTCTAAAGAAATAATGATGATGATGATGATAAGTAATTGCAAGTGGCTAAACCTTCTTGAACAGGTCCTATTTGCCAGGCACTGTGCTAAGACATTTATGTAAATTAATTTAGTCCTGAAAATAACCCAAGGAGGACAGTGTTGTTTCCTCCATTTCTAGATGGAGAAACCGAGTTTCAGAGAGCTAAAGTTGGTTTCCTTTTATGAGTAACACAAGTCTAAAGAGGGTAAGGTAGGATTCACACCCAGGTGGCTCAACTCCAAAGCCTGTGTGTTTGTTGTTTTTTTTTAAGATTTTATTTGTTTATTTGTCAGAGAGAGAGAGAGAGACAGCACAAGCAGGGGGGATGGGAGAGGGAGAAGCAGACTCCCCGCTGAGCAGGGAACCCAATGCAGGACTGAATCCCAGGACCCCGGCATCATGACCTGAGCTGAAGGCAGATGCTTAACCGACTGAGCCACCCAGGCGCCTCAAATCCTGTGCTTTTAACCACAGTGATATTCCATGTAAATTTATTATAATAAATACTGTTATATTTCTTAGGATAATAATAGAGTTAATATGAGGAGGTCTTTCTTTCTAGACACTTGCAGCTTGCAGGAAGAAAGTAATGGTGGGTATACAGACTCAGTTTCCCCTATCACTGTATTCAGTGGCCAAATACGATTTTTTAAAAGTCTAACATCACTTTTTGTGTAAGTGTTTCCGTCCAGCAGGATTGGAACAGGCTGGGACAAGAGTCACCTTATGGGAAGCCCAGAGGAGAAAGATTTGGGGATGTTGAGGAGAAGGTGTTTGCCCCATTCATCACAGTTAACTTGTGTGATGAGAGAGATACCAAGAAGATGATAGAAGATCTTACACCAGGCAGACAGAAGACAGACTATCCATTCTGAGAGGGAGGGAGGGAATTCACAAAATATGCAAAAGGCTATGCATAAAGGTGTTCGTTAAGATATTGTTTAAAACACTAAAAAGCTGGAAGCAATTTAAATGTCTAGCTAATAGGGAAATGATGAAGTCAGTTATGGTTCATTGACTCATGCATTTATTTGCAACCATGCATTTATTTGTTTTAATGTTTTGCTTTTACAGAAGTGTTATCTGCTCTACTTTGGGAAGAAGGAAGTCATATGTGATTTGACCACAATGTGTTCATCACTATTAAGTTTTGGCTTGTTTCCTTCCAGATTATGTATGTTTCATTTATAATGCAGTAGCCATTTTTAGGGATAGTTATGAAGATGAGGTAACAGAATTTTTAAACAAATGTCATAATAATTAAGCAGGACAAAAGTTTTTATGTCCATGTGAATAAATAAATACTTAGGGAAAGAGATTGGAAAGAACAGTACTGACATTCTAATGGTGCCTGTCTTGGAGTGTAGGATTATGGGTGCTTTTTATTTCCTCTGTTTTCCACGTTGTACTTCGAGGACATGTGGGTCAACTGTGAGACACTCTCAAGAATGCTTGAGTGTTAAACTAATAAAACCTGTACTGAATGAGTAAGATCAGACTTACACAAATGTCTCCTCTAACTCCTAGCTACTCAAAGCGGGATTGTCACACTAGCAATCAGCATCATCAGGTAATTGATTAGAAATACAGACCCCAACCCAGACCAACTGCATTCACATATGAAGCAATCAAATCCCCAGGGGATCCTTATTTGCATTAAAGTTTGAGATACATTGCTCTAAATGGCAGGCTGTCTCATTTCTGGAAGAGCTGAGTTTGACAGTAGCCTAATCAATGTGTAAATAAGTTGAAAATAATATGCTAAGAGGAGAGGGTTGGTTGGAATGTTGGCCAGTGGAAGTGGGCAGAATTTGAAGGAGTCAACTTGGGGGCCCCAGAGATAGCCGCTAGGGAGGTGAGGCTGCTTGTGGATTATGAGGGGGCTCGCCCACCTCTGCAGGGTGGGAGCCAGCTATCCGTGCTGTTTTCTTTGCCACTATCCTTTCTTTGGCTCTGCCATGTCCCACACCTCTTTGGTTGTACATTGGTCTTTCTTCTACCTTTCCTTCGAAAAAGAAATGGCCCTTGTCCTCTGTCTGAGAGAGGTCTAGTTTTCTGGAGAGTTCTGTACTTATTCGAATATAATAAATTGCCTTCTCATAATGCATGATCTAGAAACTGTAGTATGCAGCCCATGGATTTATTTCCAATTACAAGTTATGACATCATCATCGAATTTGTAAATCTGGTGCGTTTTGGTCTGTAAATGTTCACTGAAGAGAGACTGACCTATTTTAAGGGGTTACGAATAAAATTACCAGTACAATTCTAGAGGATTAAAACCACCTAGAGATGCTATTCCCTAGAGGGTCTTGTCTGTGTGATTGGGAACCTCCTTTGGGGAAATGTAGATAGCTCTCTTGGAAAACATGTTGACTTCTGTAATGGAGTTTTTAAAAATGGAAATAAAAAGGGGATTAAATGGGAAGGAAAGTATCTTAGAGTTTTGTTATTCAAGGAATCCTTATTTGGCATATGGCAGCTCACAGAGCACATCTGAATGAATTTTTCCCCTCTTCAGTGTCAGTTTTTGAAAGTATTTTTTTAATTTTATTTTATTATGTTAATCACCATACATTACATCATTAGTTTTTGATGTAGTGTTCCATGATTCATTGTTGGCGTGTAACACCCTGTGTTCCATTCAATACGTGCCCTCTTTAATACCCATCACCAGGCTAACCATCCCCCCAACCCCTTCTGAAAGTATTTTTGAAAGTATTTTGAAAGTATTTGAATTTTGTGCTTCTGTGATACCGAAGAAGTTAATGTTGCTCAATCTTTTCCTTTTAGAATGAGATCTTTTTTTCTAACATTTTACATAATGTCCTCAGTGAAGATCATGCCCTGGTGTCTAGAGCTGTGTCCATGAAGGTGGAAAATTTCACAGAAACCAGTGAAATAAATGAGCTCTTTGACTTATTTACTTACAACAAGGTAAAATCAGTTCTATATTTCCTTTTGTTTTGCACTCTTGCAGTAAGGTACATAAAATGGATTCTAAAATAATAGACTAATATATACTATACAAACTTTGATGCAAATAATCGTAATTTTATTTAGCAAATGGATTTCAGAAAATGTGGTTAAATCTGTCATCATCTAGCAAATATTATTCAAGTCCATATTAGGTGCTCAGTACCATCCATAATTATAAAAACACTGAGGCAACTTGCTACTTTTAAGGTGAACCCTTCTGTTTGGTAGAAATTTATCCTTAACATGTAAATATCTCAGCTTAAAATATTTTGTGTATCCTGAATTATTTATATGAAGAACATTTGTTCACCTTTCACCTATTAGTTAGTGACAGTCTACTATTTTATCAGCATATTTGGGGATAACCCAAACATTCAACTGACGTATGCAATGTAATCGGGAGAAAAACCCAGAATTTGCTTATCAAAATTGTGTCAGTATTTATATACTGACTTTGCTCAAACAATGGACTGTTTCTTGTCTTAGGGAGCATCTTTGGCCCGAATGCTTTCTAGCTTCCTGAATGAGAATTTATTTCTCAGTGCACTCAAGGTGAGTTTACAAAATTGTTACCTAGAAGGCAGGAAACATAAATTGTTTTGGGCATGTTATTTATTTTAACCTTAACTTTTCCATTCTTTTTAACTTCTCTATTTTTTACAGTCATATTTGAAGACATTTTCTTACTCAAATGCTGAGCAAGATGATTTATGGAGGCATTTTCAAATGGTAATTGTCCTACTTCCTGATATGCGTGTTCAATGAATGAATGAATGAGTGAGTGAATGAATGAATGAATGAATAAACTAAGGAAGCATTCACATAGAGAGTTGAGCAGAGTTCTGAATTTGGTCCTGAATACCACCCACTGAGGATTACTGTATAAATGAAGAATAGAAGAGCCAGCCATGTAGTTTCTTTTGGGAGATTGTTACCTGAAAAGATTTTGATGTAAATATCTGCTCTTGTGATGATTTTTTTAAAACAGGTCATCGATGACCAGAATAAAATTCTTTTGCCAGCGACAGTAAAAAGCATAATGGACAGTTGGACCCACCAGAGTGGTTTTCCAGTTATCACCTTAAATGTATCCACTGGTGCCATCAAACAAGAGCCGTTTTATCTTGGAAAGGTTAAAAATGAGACTCTCCTAACCCACAAGTAGGTACATTTGCTCCTCTGCCTTCACCTTCCTTGGGGTTGAGCTCCGACCAAATGGAAAGCAGCCTGCGGGTGAGGAAGCCTAACACCGGGCTGAGTACCACTCTTCTGCAGTGGGGCTCTGGGATGGCATCTTTTACTCTGCGAGGGGTGTTCCTGGGGTGCTAGGATGAGGTGGAACCCCTGATGTCCTGAGCGAGGCCAGAGACTTGCACTGAGGGGTTCAAGGCAGTGCCCCACCCCCGGCATTTAGCATGACGCCAGCAAACAAAACTGTGAGGGTTATGTAGCCTCTTTGTCCTTCAGACAGAAGTAATGAATTACTCAGGATTCTGGGTGAGAGGCAGGCAAATAGAACCCAGCATGGCCTCATGTTAAGTAAGAGAAAAGGGGATCCGGTTGCAAGGTCGTCTTTTTTTTCCCCTGGAAATGGAACTGAATGGTCCCTGGTCCTTGAGGAATAGTTCCGCGCATGTCCACACGTGCATGTATGTGTGTATTGATAGCCATGCTTATACTATTAGAATTATGGCCTTTAGATTCCCTTATACCTGGGCTTAAATATCAGCCTCACCAAAATTCAAACCTTCGGTAAGTCTGATATAAAATCTCTTGAGTTTTAGTGCCTTATCTGTAAAGTAAATGCAGCAACGTCTATCCCAGGGGATTGTTGTCAAAAGGAAATGAAAAACTGAGTATAAAGCTAGTGTTCATCACTTCCTCTCTTCTTCCCTTCCCTTTCTTAACTTGTAAGACGATGTTCAAGTGTGTTGGATAACGTTCTGTTGTTCACATCTCACTGTGGTTAAGTATCAGTGTAAATGAGGGAGTAATTTTCAAATACTATCACCCAAATATGGAGGTCATCCTGCTCTTTCTTTAAAACCCCAGGGAAGAAGAACAGAACTGAATGTCCCTACTCACTCTGCTCTTCTGTGACTTTTTTTTAAGTTTTTATTTTAATTCCAGTTAGTTAACATCCAGTGTTCTGATAGTTTCAAGTGTATGATGTGGTGATTCAACACTTGCATACATCACCATGTGCTCATCACGATTCCGTGACTTTTGAGAAGATGTGTGCCTTAGCTGTTAGATCAACACAGACCCTCATTCAAAGTCTTTAAGAAACCAGACTTGTGAGCATTTGAGCAAGATCACAAGTCTGGTCCAAACCCCAAGGAAGTGTGACTCTTCAGATGACTAATGTCCTCCTGTGGTCATCTCCTTCCTCCAGGTCACGTCCACCAATGTGAGAAGAATGTCGGCATTCAGTAAATATGAATAATCTGGCTGATCCATGCTGAACGCTTTTCAGATGGGGAGAAAGCTTGAGGCAGAAAAGCATTTTAAAATGTTTGTCAAGCTTTTTCTTCTGAAATTACTCTTTGCCTCTCTTGGCACGGATGGGTTTGGGTCTGTCTGCAGCATTGAACAACCCCTGAGTGAGGCCAAGTGGCTATAATTTAATATAAACAGGTCTTGAGAGTTTCAGATACAGAAAGGAAGGAAGGAAGATAGATTGAAAGAAAGAAAAATTGAAAGAAACAGAAGGGAAGGAAGGAAGGAAGGAATTCAGATACAAGATTGTCTTAGTAGCCACCTTAAGTTATAAGAAAAAGTAAAGAGGAAGACAGACTAATAGAGAATAAACAAATGGCCAAAGAAAAAACAGCTTATAAAAACAACAGTGAAGAGCCCCTGGGTGGCTCAGTCGGTTAAGTACCTGGCTCAGGTCGTGATCCCAGGGTCCTGGGATCGAGTCCGCATTGGGATCCCTGCTCAGCCGTGAGCCTGCTTCTCTCTCTGCCCCTCACCACACCCTTGTGCTCTTTCTCTCCCTCTCTCTTTCTCTTTCAAATAAATAAAATCTTTAAAAAAGAAAAAACGACAGTGAATAATCCTAAGAGCAAACCCTTGCCTATCCAGAGAGAATGACCAAAGAATTTGAGTCCTGTCATTTTATCATCTCAGTTAATATGGGCTCAGAGTTTATATCTTATGTATGAAAATTAACTGAATTTTTGGTTTCTTCCTAATAAGTGACACATGGATTGTACCTATTCTTTGGATAAAAAATGGAATTACACAGTCTCTAGTCTGGCTAGATAAAAGCAGCAGTAAGTAAGATTTATAAAATATCTTCACATATATGCATGAATATATATTACACCCATATATAAAGGCAGAGAATAAAATGTTGAAACGTATAGCCTTTGAAAAGCTATCTTGCTTAAAACTAAAATATTATTTAACATAGAGAGCTTTAAAGAAAAGTTTCAAATCAAAAGCCATTATATGTGAAAAAAATACAATTATATGGTAAGATCAGTATATATTTTAGAATTCCTTTACTTTTTGTTGGATGCATTGGGTTTATTGTTGAGGATTAAGAGGATATAGTATAAGCATATACTGGAAAATTTTTTTAGATGTACCATTTCACACTTTTCCCATATCCCTTTGTAGAAATATTCCCCGAAATGCAAGTTTCAGCTTATGATCATGACTGGGTGATTCTAAATTTGAATATGACTGGATATTACAGAGTTAACTATGATACATTAGGTTGGAAGAAGCTAAATCAACAGCTTGAAAAAGATCCTAAGGTAAGGTTGCTTTTTATATGTATTATTAAATATCATTAATAATGCACTCTTAAGTCTTGTAGAGTCAAGCTTTCATAAACCCCTCTGGTGAGAAGAGACTCTGTCCTTCCCTAACCCCAAGCCATACTGGATTTTTTCCCTCACTCTTAGAAAGGGCAGATTTAGGTTCAATGTATTGGGCTTTTGACCATTAATATCATTTTTTTCAGCCATTTTACCTTTCTAGGTAAAAATCAGAATACCTTTTCCAATTAACCATTAGTTTTGTGATCTCAGACAAGTTACTTAAATGTTCTGTTTCCATCTCTTCACTTTAAATAGGAACAATACAGCTTTGTTACTTATCATGAGGACTAGAGACAATGTAGGTAAACATATGCTTACAGTTTCTAAGCCCTTAATGGGTACCCAGTCTATGCTAGAAAGTGTTAATTTTTTTAAAAAAATTATATTCTTACTCTCCCTGAGAGAATTTAGTTTACAAAATATCAATAGACTCTAGTACCACTTTACCACCAAACATAAGTCATTCTCCCTTATGTAAATATTAAAATGTTGGCTAGCTCTGGTCAGTCAGATTTTGATTGGTTGAATTAAACCAAATCTCCACTGGTGGAGATGGATGCTGGTGTCAGACTCTCTAGAGTCTCTAGAGTTGGCTCTGCCCCAAAACCACGGGCAGTTAGTTCACTGAGACACCATTCTTCAAGCTAGAGCGTTGAACTAAAAGATGTCTTTGGTGTCTCTGTCTTCGAGAGTTCTCTGAAACACGCAGCGACCTCTCTAGCAGAAGATGACCTTCGGTGTATTGGTCCAGAGCTTGGCTTCTGCGTCTGGTAGACTTGTGTTCATGCCTCAGTTTTCCCATCCATCTAATGATGTTTTAATAGACCAACGTTAAATAAAGAATTGTGAAGATTAGTCAGGTGATACGTGTATCATGTTTAACAGAGGTGGGACCCAATTCCCTACCAGAACATATTCAGTAATTAAAAAAATATATTAGGAGGCTTTTGAATATACTGGAAAATCCACACATCATAACATTTTATTTTTGAGTCTTTTTCAGAGTAGCTACCCTCTTACTGGTTTCTAAAGGCACTGTAAGCCATGCAAGCAAGGGCATGCCATTCTAGCAATAATTTCTGGAAACCATTGTAGACTTACTTATTGAAAAACTGAGGTCAGTTATTTCTACTACATAATTGGGGAGCAAATAAAACAGCATGTCTGTTATTAATATTAATTTCGAAAATGGAAGTGTTATTACTGACAGAAAAGAAATGAGACCAAGGAAAGGTTGAAGTCTGGCTTGCTGAGAAGCTCAAAGCGAGTGTTGTGAAGATGGATTTTCTGGGACCAAACCCATGAAAATGCGTGAGGTGTTGAAGGAAGGGGATAGGAGGCTCTGGGCCCCTGAGGCCCCTCTAGCTGAGACAGAGTCCTGTGGCCTGTCCATGCCAAGGGGCTCAAGCCCAACCTTAAGCAATTGTGTTGGCAATGGACCCCTGATTTTTTGTGATTCCAAGCGCTCTGTTGGTGGCATTGGATCAAATTAGTAAAATCTTGACAAGACGGACACCGCTCAGAGGACATCAGTATTACCAAAATAGTGCTAAATAATACATACTTAAGGCTTCCCGTGCCAAAAATTCTCCTGACAACTATTTGGACTGTGTAATGCAATTGAACGTACACTCTCTATCTCGGAGAGCCTTTTAAACGTGGCTTCCCATTTTTGTTTTCACCTTGCCATGTTTTTCAGGGAGTTTTTTGGCAAAACTCTCTGCCAGATGAAAGACTTATGATTGATGTCCGGAGGGATCATTTATCAAAACCAGATGTATAATAAATAAATCATGGGGACTATCCTCAGTGATCACCATTTCCCTGTGCGTGAGACAATTCACGTAAAAGGGCTTCATAAGCGACCCTGATCTTGAAACACTGTTATGATTTTGCAGAATTATTTTATGGCTAAGAAATGTTCTCATTTTTTCCTGCCCAAATTTGGATCTAATTTGCAGGCCATTCCTGTTATCCACAGGCTGCAGCTGATTGATGATGCCTTTTCCTTGTCTAAGTGAGTATGTTGTCTTCACTGCTGGCTTTTAAGTGTACCTTGAGAATGTAATAAAACCTTCAGCCTGATCACCGTGCAGTGAAATTGCTTCTTCAGTTTATACAGGGCCCAGCTTATTCGGATTAGGATCAAGTTCCATGGGTACAGTGGAATTTTAGAACATAGAAGTTGCTGGGACGGACATCACCGTGGATGTACTTTGAGGGCATTGGGCTAAGTGAAGGAAGCCAGTCACAAAAAGATAAATACTATATGATTCCACCTATATGAGTTCCTTGGAGTAGTCAGAATCCTAGAGACAAAAGGGAAGGGTGGTTGCCGGGGGCAGGTGGGAGGGGGGAGTTTGGGGGAGTTAGTGTTTAATGGGGACCAAGTTTCAGTTTTACAAGATGAAAATGTATGTCGGCGTTTTAAAAGACTTCTAAGTCTACATCTCTACCTGTCCCCTCCTTTAAAGGAGAAGTTTTAAAAACGATGCAGTAGAGAAGTAAAGTAAAACGTTATCGTGTTTAAATATTTGGAGGATTATCACAGAAAGTATTAGAATTTTTATTTTTTAAATTTCCATCAGGAAGAAAAACTCAGGGGAAAACACAAGTGATTTGGGCTTGCATTTGTAAAGGCTGTTAAATATCAAAAGGGATACATTTAGGAAGGTTGTAGATGCATTCACATTTTTCTCTGACATTGTAAGTTAAGGAAATAGCTGACATATCAAAAAAAAATAGACTATCAATTGAGATTTTGAAGTAATTTTTTTTACCCTAGGGTGATGGCTATAGGTATAATTTTAATGAGATATGGCCTATGTTTTAGTGTACTACAGAAATACAGATTTTATTTCTATTACATTTATTCAGTACATTTATTCATCCAGATAAATTCATATGTGTCCAAAATTTAAATTTTCAGACAGTAAAATTAAGGAGTGTATATAATAAATTATCCAGTGTGTTCTCTCTGTCTTTGGCCTGTCCTATTTCTTGAGTGAATGTCTGTTTATTTTATCCTTCATTTCTCTACCACTTTTCCCTCTATGACCTGCAGCACATTTCTTCACCCGCTGCTTTGCTGAAACCCCTCTCTAGGAGCACCATGACTTTGAGACTGTTGACCATATCCTCCGGGAAACTTCTCTTGGTTTCTGGAGACTCTGAGACACAAACCCGGTTCCCTTGTGTCTGATTTTTCTTGTGTCTGATTTTTCTCCGTGCTCCCTTCAGACCAATCATGGTTCTATCATTTTCTTTTCTCTTTCCTTGGGACGGCTCATGCATTCTTATGGTTTTAGGGATCATTTTATTATGGGCACGTACAGTGCCCAGCAGATACAGGCCACTCAGTAAAGCTTTGTGAAGGGATATGTTCATGACTTCTAAGTCTACATCTCCACCTGTCCCCCCCCCCGCCTTCTGCATATCCTGTGATCATTTAAACTCAGGACCTTACACAGTGGACTTTCTTTCTGTCTCTGAATTGCTCCTGCTATCAATTTCTCTCTGTCAAAGTGCCACGATTCTTCCCATCACCCAAACTTGAAACATCAGAGACATCCTTGACTCCTCTCTCTCTCTCCATCTGCCATTTGCCAACTGTTTTATCTCTTCTTTCTTGAGGATGTCTTTTGGATTCTCCCCCTTACTTACTACCTTCACTGCTTCCATGCTAAGCCAAGCACCCCTCATCTTTTACTTAGTCTGTTATGTTAGCTTCCAGCCTTCAGTTCCTTTAAATTCCATTCTGTCTTCTTCAGCACAGTGGCTATAAAATTTTTCAGCATCTACTTCGTGATGTCACCCCGTGTTGTTTAAACACCTTCCTACTCCATGTAAACTCTTCATCCTGACATTCAAGACTCATTACAGTGTTGATCCACCTTATTTTCCAGCTTCCACCTCTCAACTCCACACTGAAGAAATCCTGCACTTCGATTGCTTGGTCTGCTCATCAAACAGATTCCCGCTTTATCTTCTCTGTCATAAGCAGCCTTGCTCTTTCTCTCTCTCTGTTTCCATCTTACCCAGGCTTCACTGCCCTTCTCACTTTCCTCCTCCCAGGAGGCCTTCCCTGACTTTTCCATCACACACATGGGTTTTCCTTCTTTGCTACTTTTATTATATTCATTGCCTTTTCTCGGACTCATTAACAGCTTCTTATGCCTAAGTCTCAGCTTCTCCCTGAAAGAATAAGATCCCCAATGGTAGTCAAGAGTTGTGTCCTACACACTAGTTTGTGTTCCTGTGAGTATCTGGCAGAGCATTAGATAATGACTTCTGATCAGTACTTGTTGAATGGAAATTATAATCTCATAAGAATGCGTACGAAATGCACAAATATTCTTTTGCCCGCTGAGCAGTCCAAGAGTTGGCCTGGATTTTCCTCTAGTCTCCAAAAATTGGGGCACTTGAATGTACCAAATTGTAATGGAGCGTCTGTCAGCATTGCTTGGCTCCTACCTTATCAAGGAGCTGGGACCTCTAGCTTCTTGATTTCACATACTTATTAAAGTCAGGCGTCGAAGCATGGGACAAATATGGAAAGTGTGCAAATTACTTAGCGAGTGGAGGTTTTTTGAGTGTGTATTTTTTTGAACCAAACAGAAACAATTATATTGAGATTGAAACAGCCCTTGATTTAACCAAGTACCTTGCTGAAGAAGATGAAATCATAGTATGGTATGCGGTCTTGGTGAACCTGGTAACCAAGGATCTTGTTTTTGATGCGAACAGCTATGATATATACCCATTATTAAAGGTAATTTCCTTCTTTGTTGTGTGGTTTAGAAAAAGTCCTCTCTCCCTCTTTCCATAACTAGACAGCATCTGTGAAACACCTCTTCCCCCAAGTCATAGTCTATGAGTTCCAAATATATATTAATTTTCTTAGGAATGACTGGTTACTCTTAGTCATACTTTAGTCATAGACGTGGTCTAGGAGATGAGTATGAGAGAAGCTTGGAAAGGCCTCTAGTTCTTGGTGAAGTGACAGTGTGCCCTAAGAACCCAGAAGTGGATGGAAATGGTATGCCTTTTCTCTGATAGCAACTATTCTCCTAAAAGATTGTTAGTCAAACAGGAAGACTTCTAATAACCCTATATTCATCATTGAAATACTCTGAACTACAGGACTAGCGCTTCACCAGAGAGGCATGTTCCAGAAAAAGTAAACATTTTAAAGCTGCTTTTGCTGCTGGCAAGTGAGAGAGGAAAATGGGAATTCATCAAGCAATGACACACCATCATAACTGAAACAATAGAAAAGGAGAAAACTTCCATTATTAGATCTTAAACAGTGATCCTAAGAAAGATGGCTCAGGGCAAACCAAAGCAACAGTTAGGGAGCAGCCCTTTGGAGAGCTAGGGACCAGAAACAAATCAGAAAGTGGGCCAGATGATCATTCCAAGCAAGCTTCTGGGGCAATTGGAAGGTGAGATCACAAATACCTCACGGGTCCAGACTTTCTTTCCTCTGCTGTCCAAAGAGCTGGTGGAAACGTCCTTGCATGGGGGGACGGTGATCCAGAAAAGAAAGCACTTAACTGTGGGATCAAGGTGGCTCATTGATAAACTCTGATGCCTGGTTCTGGGTAAAGAAGTAAAAACTAGGATTTGTTTTTATTTTTTATTTGAGAGAGAGAGAGTGCACAAGCAGGGACGGGGCGGAGGGAGAGGGAGAAGCAGGTTCCCTGCTGAGTGGAGCCCCATGTGGGGCTCGATCCCAGGACCCTGAGATCATGTCCTGAGCTGAAGGCAGACGCTTAACCAACTGAGCCACCCAGGTGCCCTAGGATTTGTTTTTAATGAATGTCAATGAATAGCATCTACTTCGTGCTTGGGGATGTATTGTAAATGGATAACTTTCATAACCTTGCTATTCACCCAGCTGAGAGCTCAATTGAAGAAAATTTTTTTCAGACTCAAGGCTTAAAATTGTCCAAAGCATAAATCAGTTGTCCCAATTTTTCTTGGAGGTGTAGATACGAAGCATGGGAATGTTAAAGTAGAAATTTTAATGGTTTTAAAATTTTATGTTTCTTTCTCTATCTTGGACACACCTGAAAATGTTCCAGGTGATGTGAAATGGTAATAAGAGCTAAGATTTATCGAGTTCCTATGTTCGCAGTGCATATTCACATATGTAATATTGTTTTGTCCTCACCAAACTGTAATATTGGTATTCTCGGCAATTCCATTGTACCAATTAGGAACCTGAATGTAGAGAGGCTACAAAATCAACCAGTTACACGTTTAGTAACAAAGACAACTTCTCAGGAGATACCTGTCACTCCTCTATTCCTGTCTTTTCAGAGAAAGGGAAATACAGGCAAATTCAGTGTTGTGAGCCATAGCTAACTGCAGGTTTTCCTTATTGTTTGTAGAAGTATCTGTTAAAGAGACTTATCTCGATATGGAATATGTATTCAACTGTCATTCGTGAAAATGTGGCAGTGTTACAAGACGACTATTTAGCCCTGTAAGTATTTTTTTATTTTTCTATATTTAATATGTATATTCAATTTATATTCAATTCAGTTTATAATTGAATAAAATGATTCATGTTAAGAGACAGCCTTCCAGATGTATATTAGGAAGACCTCGATACCTATGATTTAACTGGGAGATTTTGTATGCTCCTTGAGACCAGCGTCTTTGGGATGGGTGAGCTACATGTTCCCCAGTAGGAAATAGTAGTTTGGGATCTTAATTTACCTGCAAAGTACACGCATGGACACACAGGAATCTATAGCTCTGTATTCTCAAATCTTAGGCCCCTGGTTGAGGTTGTGAGTGTGTCCTACCATTGGTGAAGGGTTGTACTGTTTAAAACCAGCCTATACCAATGCATTGAAGGCATAGGGAGGCCAGAAGAGAAAAAAAGTCCTTTCCGTATGTTATTGGTGACAGAAATTCTGCCATTCATTACACAAATATGATGAGAGACGTTGCCTGAAATATTTTAGTCATTTGTGTGTGAGCATGAGCAAGTATTGCAAATGATTTCCATATTATTGGTTTGGTGAGGGCGGTAAGCATATTGTCATGATGGTCTCGGAAGGGGGTGAAAGGTAAAATAAGGCTGCAGTATCCCCAGCCTCCTGTGACCCAAGATTTGTAGGGAGAGAGGGGAGACGTGAGGGGAGCTTCTAGATTTAGGGAGGGAATTTGTTATCTATAACAGTACAGGGATTATGTTTACAGCTCTAATCAATATCAGGCTGAAATCAATCAGACCAAACAAGAAGTACAAAATAGACAAAATGGGATTATTCTCTGTCAAGGGTATCCTTCCGAGAGGGGAGATATTTCCTTGCTAGGGCAGGCAACTGGAAGGACATGGGGTTGACTAGACACTTAGACAGGAGACGGTGAGGACTAGCGGGATAGTCAGTGGGCAGACGAGTTGGGTGCGTGAACTGGAGGACAAAAGTGTGCTCACTCAGGGCACCACAAATGTTAGCCAGCCATATCCTTGGCTCTCCTAAATTGGACTCAAGTGACCTGCTTTTTTTAGCTTCCTGGAGCCAGTTGTCTTCCAAGTAAACTTGGAGAGTTGTGTACTCATAGAAAACCCCGTCTTGCTGCATCCAACTTGGGATGGGGAAGGAGAGGGAGGGAGCGGGTAAATGAATGCTCAGAACTGTCTTTCAGAGGCCCTCCACCCTTGGACATTCTACTTCTCCTTATCGGAAGGTCAGGCCAGGCTGAGGTTGCAACTGGAGGGTGAAGCAACCCTGATTTGGCTCTTGCATTTTCTGGAAATTTAGGGCCAGTTTGAGTTCCTTTCCTCTGAATCCAAGTCAGAGAGAGTTGGGAGTATGGAGAGACACACCTCCAGGCATCGCTTCTCTGGACTGATTACTGTTCTTCACCGTATTCTTTTTTTTTTTTTTAATGTAATTTTGATTTTTTTATTGTTATGTTAATCACCATGCATTACATCATTAGTTTTTGATGTAGTGTTCCATGATTCATTGTTTGCGTATAACACCCAGTGCCCCATGCAGAACGTGCCCTCTTTAATACCCATCACCAGGCTAACCCATCCCCCCACACCCCCCCCGAACCCTCATTTTGAACTTACTTTGTTTGGAACAATAATGTGTAGTGCTGCTCAGCTGTCAAAACAAAACAAAAATCTCTCTTATTTATCTGGACACGAACATAAATAGCCAAATAGAGCAGAGGAAGAAACAAAAGTTCCAGCAAGGGAAAGCACATTGAGGAAAGAGAAAGAAACCCCTCCCTCTCCTTTCCGTGTATAGAGAAAAGAACTTCATTTTTGAGGGTATTAGATCAAATACTCTCAAGTCTTTTTTCTTTCTATCCATAAGGCAATTATTGTAAGAAAGGGAGGAAAACTAAATTGATAACAGATGTGGAGTGTGTGTACTCCCTCGTGTGTTTGAGGGAGATGAAGAATGGCAGTAATTTATTTCCGACTTTCAAAAAATACCAGTCTTAGGAGTTTATTTGGTGCCTGAGAGCCTCTCAGCAAATATTTCTCTGAGCCTTAAATAAGTTTGCCATCCACAAAAGCTATTTTTTCACAAACCCCAATGTTATCGGAAGGATATTTTAAAATACCCATCCTCTCATGAAACACATGTACTTGGAGTAGGAAAAAAAATAAATGTAACAAAACAAAATGTTTTTCTTTGTGCTTTCCTTTAAGAGTAGCCCTGGAAAAACTTTTTGAAACTGCGTGCTGGTTGGGCCTTGAAGACTGTCTTCAGCTGTCAAGAGAACTCTTCAAAAACTGGGCGAACCATCCAGAGAATGAGTAAGACTCATATTGGATTGCCCTTGGTTCTGTCCTGTTTCAACACCAATAATTTCTCTCCCTTTTCGATGTTCTCATTCTGGGAGTGATTGTTTTGTTTTTGCTTGGGTAGTCTGTCTCCTATTTTTTTCAAATATCCCTCCCCTTTTTTTTTCTTTTGCATTGTCTACCGTAGGTCTGGGTATGACAGTGGATTCGAATTTATGCAGTGTGTTGTCACCCTGGGCCGCTAATTGTCAGCGTGTCCCCTAATAAGCACTTGTGCGTATCTTTTTTTTTTTTTAAGATTTTATTTATTTATTTGAGAGAGAGAGAGAGAGAGCACGAGATGGGGGAGGGTCAGAGAGAGAAGCAGACTCCCTGCTGATCAGGGAGCCCAAGGCGGGGTTTGATCCTGGGACTCCTGGATCATGACCTGAGCCGAAGGCAGTCGCCCAACCAACTGAGCTACCCAGGCACCCCATTTGTGCGTACCTTGAGTCTTATTTCGGTTGTTCCTCGATGGTTTATTATTGTGATTTATATATAAGTGTGTCCAAGGAGCTCATTCTCTATGAGTTTGCATTCCCTCTGAGAGCTGAGACGAAGACTATATTTCTGGTTTTACTGTGTTATGTCTAATGCATCACCTCAGGTGGACTCTCAAGAAATGTGATCATAAGACATGAGATAAGGAGCACCTGGCTGGCTCGCTCGGTAGAGCATCTGACTCTTGATCTCGGGGTCGTGAGTTCAAGCCCCACATTGGGTGTGGAGATTACTTTAAAATATATATATATATATATATATATATATACATATATATATATATATATGAGCCCAAGCTGAATTATCAGTGTATGTTGATTGAACTATTATAATTTCCTTCTTTCTTATAACTCCTTAGTTTCTAAATGAATCTGATGTTCTTGTCTCACAATATTAATGCTAATGACAGTTTCCACAGTTGGCTTTCTCGATCCCTACTTTTGATCATTACATCTGACACCTCAACATTTTTTTCTAGGTACATCCTTCTAAAAATATATAACATCTAAATAAACATATCACCTAACTACTATGAGAAATATCACTGCATGTTCTACCTTACAGAATACCTTCTCCGATTAAAAGTGTAATTTTATGTTATGGCGTCGCCTTGGGAAGTGAGGAAGAATGGGACTTTCTGTTAAATATGTACGCTAATAAAACAAAGGAAGAAGAAAGGATTCAACTCGCTTATGCGATGAGCTGCAGTAAAGACCCATGGATACTTAACAGGTGATTACAGTCAACTTATCTTTGGAGTTCCTGGTGGAGGAATGCAATTAATAGACCAAAGGGAGAAAAATAGAACATGTGCTCCTATAGGAACTCAAAGAATACCTGTTTGTGCCCTCCTGACTTAGCACCATATGGGATTTTAAGTCCACTTGTTGAAATTTGCTCTTTCTATTGGATGATGTTTGTGCATTTATTTTCTGCAAATGCATTTTTGCAGATATATGGAGTACGCCATTACTGCATCTCCTTTTGCTTTTAATGAAACAAATATCATTGAGGTTGTGGCAGCATCTGAAGTGGGCCGGTACATCGCAAAGGACTTTCTAGTCAACAACTGGCAAGCTGTGAGTGAAAGGTAAGAAGGGAATGCAAGGTTGGTCATTGGTTTGGTGCTAGATGTTCAACCTTAGTCTGACTAGGTTACAAAAGTCCTTTGCACGGACCAGAGAAGTGATGATTTTTCTTGCGTTTAGTCTCATTTGTGGAAGAGAAGGTCACTTACCCTCAGTTTTGGCTTTCTGTATGAAAATGGGTTTGCCTGGGGTTATACCTACCTGTCTCCCGGCTTTGCCCACTAAGAAGTTTGTCATCAGAGACATAGAGTAGAACAAGTCATGTTTTTTTTTTTTTTGGTGTGAGTGCACACCAACCATTCACTTATTTTGGGAGGTAGACCACTATATTACAAGAAACAATGTTCATGACTATGTCAGTCTGGCTGTTGCTTGTGTCTTATTTGTCAGATTCCCTTTACGTATCTGGTTTCCATATTCTCGAACTTTCCATATTTCTTACCTTTTAAGATTAAATCTGCTTCCTTCGTAGCCCCCTGTTGGGTAAAATGTACACTGACATGCAAAAATCAGACAGCATGCCCTTGATGGTTCGTCTTTCTAGCACATGACTTAATCATACATTCCTGAAAGCCTAGAATAATGCGTCCTACAAGTACTCACATCTGCTAGAGTTAGCAGATACTTAGCAGATCCAAACACCTGTAAAGCTGGAAGGTACCTTTCATAAATAAGTTTATTCTTTTGGAACAGAAAGTATATTTAGAATATAAATGTTTAAGAATGTGAATATAGGGGGTTCCTGGGTGGCTCAGTCAATTAAGCATCCGACTCTTGGTTTTGGCTCAGGACATGATCTCAGTGTCGTGAGATCAAGCCCTGCATCGCTGAGCGTGGAGCCTGCTTAAGATTCTCTCTCTCTCCCTCTCTCTCTCCATGCACTGCAGCACCCCCATTTCTAAAAAAAGGATATGAATATGGCTCTCTTACAAAACAAAATCCTGCAAAGTTTTTCTTTTGTAAATGTTTATTGAACTCCTTTAAACACCAAAAAAAATGTGCATTTAAATCAGAAATTTACAACATGTAGCTAAAAGCTTGTTTGCATAGTACCATTTTCCTGGCTCATCGCAGAACACACTTACTGAGAAAATTGACCTTATGTCCACTGTTAAATTATCTATCATTCTAAGTTCATTGCTTCTGGCAGCCTTATGAATTCCTTAAATCTCCTCGGATTCCAAAGACCTTGGGGGTAAATGATGTCTTCCATTTTTGCTTAAGTCGTTAAAGATAATGCCCTCCTTCCTAGGTCCCACTGGGAACTGGGGAGCTGGGATTGAAATGAAAATTATTGACATTGGTCCCCTTAGTCCCTGAGGTTTCAGAGATTCCAGCCACACAGGGTTGTCTCTTTGTTTCTGTTCTCTCTCCCTGGAGTTTGTCACAGAAGCCCCGTCCCTGCGTACCCCCTCTAGGTCTGGCTCTGCCTGGCCCATGAGGCTGCCTGTCCTTCTGCTGCTGTGGTTCGTAATGCCCACGGGCCTTCACTTCAGCTATTGTTCTTGACTGTTTCCTACGCAACAATTGAGGAGCAGTTGTGGAATTAAAACGCTGAGAGCACAGCTCCTTTAAGAACTGTGTGATGATTTGCCTGAGGGCCCAACGGTGATCTCCTCTGTTCCTTCCTATGCACTGCTGGGCCCTGAGGAAGACAGAGCTTCACGATTTTGAGCCAGGCTTAGTGTTTAGCTGTGCCTGGCACCTGGTACGTCCTTCTAAGTGCTGAGGATCGTACTTCTGTCGTTGTGGCTCAAAGTGACATGGTGAGCCCAGGCACAACATTAGAAATCTCCTAGAGTGGTTCAGTAACCTCAAGGCTCTCAAGCCCACCTACCTCCTTAAAAATCAGAATCCACCAAAGTAGGGCAGGAAATCTGCACCTTTCACCAGCTCCCGGGGTGATGCTGGTATGGTTTAACATGAAACCAGCTGACCCCTGATTAAAAAAATCATCTAAGGCTGCACTGCTCAATATGATAGCCACCAGTTAATCCGTGGATCTCTAAATTTAAATTTGAATTGACTAAAATTAAAGAAAATTTAAAATCCAGCTCCACCATTGCACAAGTCCTGTTGTAAGAGCACGAAGTGACCAACAGCTACCATGCTGGACCGCTCAGGTACAGAACGTGGCCATCACTGCCGAGTTCAACTGGACAGTGTGCTCCCAGGGGTAAACCCGCCCCTTGGTTCATTTTTCATCCCCTTTTCCTCTACCACACACAGCACATGTGCTGAGAAAACCCCCCAAAATGGCTTTGAGCAACTCATGGGAAAGACCGCTCTCAATTTAAGTGACTTGGAGTGTGTTTTAACTTTTATTCCTCAGAAGAACCGTTTTTTTCTGTGTTTAGAGAACGGGAACACGTTGGCAACACTCTCGGGAAAGTCCATCGTGTGACGATTTATTTACATCTGATTTTAACCAAAGGGCCGAGAAGTGATGGGTGGCAATTTATTTCAATGATGTGTGTACTATATTAAATGGATGGAATTCCCCACTTTTTTTTTTAACTCTAAATGGGTCTTTTGAACCTCAAGAAGCTCCTAGAATTATAGGACACCTCAGTGGCTCAGTAGATTAAGTGTCTGCCTTCAGCTCAGGTCATGATCTCGGGGTCCTGGGATCGAGTCCCGCATCGGGCTCCCTGAGTGCTCAGTGGGGAGTCTGCTTCTCCTTCTCCTTTTGCCCCTCCTCCCCACTAATTCTCTGTCTCTCTCTCTCTCTCTCTCAAATAAATAAATAAAAATCTTAAAAAATAAAGAAGCTCCTAGAACTGTAAATGTATGAACTTTTAACCATGGCTTGAATATTTTAATCCCTTATCAACAAGATGTCGTGCTCATAAAATAGATGCCTATTTATAGCAAATTCATCTCAGTTCACTCCTCTCTCACATTCTGCTACAAAAAGTCTTTCAGACTCAAATAGGTTTGCTTTCTACAACTAATACATTTTTAAATTTACTCTTTATTCATTTATTTAATAGTAATTTTAATATTGATCAGTCTTGCTGAATTGTGCAAATGATTCTGTTTGAATGAAGAGTGATAGTATTTATAGATTGTTAGAAGGAAATAAAAGTGCAAGTTAATAATCAAAATGTTATACACCCTAAAAATGGCTCAAAAATGCTTACTTAATTCTTTGTACATCAGAACATTTAAGTCATTACTTAAACAGTTATATTTAACATGAAGACTAGCATGTTACCAGTCTTCATATAATAATAAAGACAACATAAAGGATCAATGCACAAATGCCTCTGACAAATTAAATTTTACATTAATTATGTGAAAAAGACTTATTCTGAACTTCCTGAAATGTGACTGATTCCTAGCAAGTTAGTTGCGAAATTCGTGTTTCTCCGGTATGTTTCACTGAGCATTGTTCATGGAATATGAAAGACAGTAGCCTGATCAGTTTGGGAACCATCTGTGTTAACCTCCACTTTTGCAAATTCACAGTATATGCTAGCATCGTAAAGACCCCAAGAAGCCCCACAGAAGGACATCTAGAGTTTTCCGTACCTCTTTCCTACATCTTACAGCCATAATCCTGCTACTCACTGTCTATGTCATGTAAACAGAATGTCATTTTGCCAGGAGATCAGTTGTTCTGGGAGAGAAACAGACGAGAAACGGAATTCTCCAACACTCCCCTCTGGAATGCAACTAGAACAACTGTTTATTGTTTGCCTGTTAGTTAACATGTTGGCCTTGGTTTCCTCTTATATAAAATGAAAGGTATCCTATTTGATCAATTCCAAGGTTCTTTCTTGTAATAAACAGTTATCATCTTGCCATGCCAAGGTCCAGTTAGTTTAAGCTCTTGTCAGGGATATAAGGTGATGAGGATGTGCTACCTGAGAAATGCTGTAGAGGAGAGCCGGAGAAGGTTTGGGGACCAAAAGAGAAGAATGGGATTTAAGTGGGATTTGAACAAACAGTGGGAAAAAAATGACCTTCTGCATGGACCAGAGGATGCCAGCAAATGCCTGGGGGCAGGACTGAGCATCTGACTTGGGACCGGTCACAGTAGGTGGCTGGAACTCGGGGCTCTGGAACAGAGGAGACGGGGCTGGTCCAGTGTTAGAGCTGAGGGCTCTGGCCAGCAACAGTTCAGGTCCCATGTACTTCCCAGGAAGCCTGATCTGAAACTGTATTTGGGAATACTGTATTGAGGCAAACAACTTCAGTTTGGTCCTGCCCCTCGCTCCCATGTTTGGAGCATTGCACTGGTTGCTGTGGGGTATTTAAGTCCATAGTTGGGCCAAAGATGATCTTTTGAGTCCCGATCCCAGTGAGGAAACCTCCACTGACCATAAAGACATCTCGCAGGTTAGGGAAAGATGCGTCTGGCCCCTCAGCTGTGGATGGGTCTCATGGAAGAATGTGTGGATAGAGATGAAGCAATAGGACTTGTATGAGTTGTTACTGTAGGCAGTAGAAATGGTGTTTCTGCCATGTCATCCTGGTCAGGTGCTTTTGGCTTTTTTTTTTTTTTCAAGATTTTATTTATTTACTTGTCAGAGAGTGCACAAGCAGGGGGCATGGCAGGCAAAGGGAGAAGTGGGCTCCCCACTGAGCAGGGAGCCCGATGTGGGGCTTGATCCCAGGACCCCACGATCATGACTGAGCTGAAGGCAGATGCCCACCCTACTGAGCCACCTGGGTGTCCCCTGCTTTTGGCTTTCTTAAAACCATGTAGGCTTCACAGCCTCCAGGAAAACCCTAGTTTTATTTGAATATAGAATACAAAGTATGATCAGTTTCCTGACCTAAAATGAATCTTACCCCCTTCTTTTTCACCAAAGCCTTGATTTCTTCCTCAAATGTTGTTACACTGGCTAAGCATGAAAGCTTGCACACATTCCCGCTTCCTCTCTGTTGGGTTTCATGATGGGGAGCACACAGCTGAACGGAGAACTAGAAGCACAAGCAAACGGAGAACAGTCAGGTGTTACGGAGAGGTTCTTTTACCTTGGAGTATTATACCAACATTAACTCTTGCAATTTTTAATTTCAAGTATACGTTTTTAAAGTAAGTCAATCGTGTGTATTAACTATCTACCTTCAATAGAACAGAATGGTAGTTGAACCCTTTCTTGTTGGGTCCAAAGCATTAACCCTATTTTAATTTTCTTTCTTCTTTAATGCATCCCAAAGTCTTTATTTACCTTTTTAACCACAGCAAGGCTTCGGGCAGGTATGTATCTGTTGTTTTTCCATAACAGTGTTTCATGGTTTTTTTTCTGGATGATCCTTGTTGGACATTCAAGGACTCGAAACTAGAGGGGAAGTTTCAATCATGGTGCCTGTTTGAGGGCGAGAAAGTGAAGCCGGAGTACTTAGCCCTTTGGTAATCACCAACATGTGGAGAATCTTCAAAGACATGGATCCTCTCTCCAAAAAGCATATGCAAATACAAAATTTTAAATAAGCTTTCAGGGTAGGTTAGGCAGAGTTTCTGAAACTGATCCCATATTAATTACTGTTTTTTAAGGAGCATAATTGGCATATTTACTTACCCCTTTTAAGTTGTCTTAATTTGAGGTACATGACATCTGTTTTAACCACCTCATTTAAAAAGATAAAAATGGTTGCGGTTTTTATGAAGAGCTTTTTATATTTAAGTAAAGCTTTCAGAACTATGTGGACCCAAATTGATATTTACCTATGAATATTTCCTTAGTGCTGATAAAATTTTCTATATAATAGATTTCCTATTAAATGATGAAGCCAAACCAGTTCATACATGTTTTTGCGTAGATCTGGGACGTAGGAATCAATAGGGGCTGTGCACTTGGCATCTACCTGCTCTATAAAATACAGCTTTATCTTGCAAAACATTTTCCACCTCTGATTAGCATCTTGTTGCTTTGTAGGTATGGAACACAATCGCTGGTTACTCTCATGTATATAATAGGGAGAACCATAAGTACAGACTTGCAGATCACAGAGGTAAGTACTTTAGATATCCTGAATTATAATGATAATTTAGAAGCCATTTTTCATGTAATTTGGAGCTGCTAAAATTGAAAACGACAGGCTTATTGGAATTACTATATTCCGTGCCTCCGTTGGGGTTATTTTCACTGTGTTGTGCAGGAAGTGGCTTTCGATTCCATCTTGCTCCTGAAATAGAGACCATTCTTGCTGGTAGAGGGTTGGACTCCATCCTTGCTCACCTCGCTTGACTGCAGTGCCCTCTGGCTAGGACTCTCGGCCCTCAGTCCTTGCCCCGCTGTCGAAGCTTCAGGAACTCATCAAGTGATGAGAAGACATTTTTACTCTTTTCATTATAACCTGGCCCCTGCCAGCCTCTCTGGCTTCCGTTTTTGCCTGCCTCACTGCCGAGTGTAGGAGACGCTCCCCAGCACTTTGCCTCCACTGATGCTGTACCTTTTACAGATTTTCTTTAATTATCATGTTGCTTCACATTTTCCAGATTTTGGAAATGCCCTACCTTCTGATTTGGGTGGCTTCACCCTGCCTGTCCTTGGCTGGATGATTCCTAGTTATCCTTTAAGACCCTGCTCCAACCACCTAGTCTAGGAATTTTTTAATTAACTGATTTACACCCTCTCCTCCTGCACGCTCTTCAGTTATCCTGTGAATACCTGTATCATAGCGCTAACCACCTTATACTATAATTGGTGTATAAATGGGTCTGCTCCCTGAGGCTCTAAGGAGCTCCCTGAGGAGGGAGACCACATTTTCGTCAGACCTGTATTCTAGAACCTAGAAGAGGCCTGGCTACTTTTCTTTTTTTAAGATTTTATTTTTAAAGTAATCTCTCCACCCAGAGTGGGGTTCGAACTCACAAACCCGAGATCAAGAGTCGCACACTCTACCCACTGAACGTGCCAGGTGACCCGGAGCTTGCCGTTTCTAGGCTCTGCGTCCTCCTCAGCTGAATTAATTACTGTTTTTTAAGTAATTAATTTGTGCTCAGGCATTTTTTTCAAAAAATATTTACTGAACTCAATTGAGATGAAATTGATGGACAATTAAGGCAGGCTTTCTCCACAGGAGGCAAACGTAGCCCCAGGCTTCTGTTGTCCATAGCCCTCTCAGTTGGAGGAGGAGGAGTCCTTGCTCACCCAACTTCAAGTTCCAGCTCCACGGAAGGACTCTGGTTGGTCCTACCTGGGTCCACATGCCCCAGTGACTGTGGACCGGTGTGTGTGTCGGGGTGGGGGTGGGGTGTGTGTGAAATACTCCAGTGGCTCAGCCTGGGTCATGTGCCGGCATTTGGAGCCAGCCCCACCCAAACCACAGGCACTGGGATAGGGGAGGAGTAGTTCTGGAAAGAAAAGGGGATCCTGTATCCAGAAAGTAAACTAAGGGGCCAAAGCAAATATCTATCAAACACACCCACACACACACACACACACACACTAAAACAAGGGTAATATATAAATACAACCTCTACACACCTAGAGCATAGGTAAAATTAGAAAGATTTACGATACCAAACACTGGCAAAGAGGTAAGGCAACTGGAACTCTCTTTTTCTGCCAGCGAGAAGGTAACATGTACAACTCCTCTGGAAAACAGGCGGTCTTTTAAAATGTTACTTAGATACGTGTGACCTAGCAGTTCCATTCTTAGGTTTTTACTCAGGAGGAATTAAAACCCATATCCACACAAAGACTTGTTACATAAATGTTCATGGCAGCATTATTCACGTTAGCCAAGAACTGGAAACCATCCACACATCCATCAGTAGGTGACTAGATAGGGAAAATGTAATATATCCACACCAGGGAATACTATCCTGCAATTAAAAAAAAAAAAGAATAAGTTTGTGTAACAACATGGATACATCTCAAGATGATTATGCTGAGTTAGAAACAAAAAAAACCAGACACATTCTGGGAAATGCAAATATAATCTCTCGTGACAAAAGGCAGATCAGTGGTTGCCTGGGATGGAGGGAGAGCTCCATTGCAGAGCGCCTGAAGGAATATGTGGGTGATGGAAATGGACTTTACTGTAGCTAGATCCTAGCTCTGTGTTTTACGGGCATATAAAATGAGCAGCACTCACTCACTTGTCACACTTCAAGTGAATACGGTTTCTTGTCCATCAATTTCATCTCAATTGAGTTCAGTAAATATTTTTTGAAAAAAATGCCTGAGCACAAATTAAACACTGTGGCCCGGAACTATATTAGTATGAACAGAAAGGGCCTGTATAAATAAGGAAGGAAAAGCAATCACTTCTTGGTCTTTTGGCTGAGATCAAGGGTAGTGTCTCTTCTTATCAGGTTAATATCTCATACATCCTCTATCCAAGGATAAGATATTAAGGGGATTTATGGAGCAGGAAGCTCCATCCACTCCACACATTGCCCTGGTTTAAAGAAAAAAAAAAAAGGAGGAGGAAGGAAAATCAGCTCCCCTGCCCCAGCAAATAAACCAATAAATATATAGGTCATAAAGGCCTGAAGTTTGATTGTGAGCCAAAAGAGAGAGTGAGAGAGAGAGAGAGAAGCAGTCAGCTATGTAGTTGTTATTATGAGAGAGGAAGAATCACGAATTCCTGAAGGACTTCTCTATGTGTGAGTTTTGGCCTGCCTGAGGCTGAGCTGCCAGGACCTGACTTATCAGGGGTTCCCTGGACAGGAGAGGGAGGGGCACCCAGACATGCTGGAAGGAAGGCTCCAGAATGAAGGCCGAGTTTGTGTTGGCAACGAAGGGCCTCCGTTCTTCTTTGTGTCTAGAGAACCCAGGGAAGTTTTATTTGCCATTTCATGAATGAATGAAGTGCCCATAAATTTAGCAGTCCTTGGAGTTCCAAAACTCTAGAGTCACTGACAGTTTGTTTTAAAAAAAAAAACCAACAAAAATACTTTCAACTGTGGTGAAATTTTTGCCATTTTGAAAACAAGTAAATTAGCTACTGTGAATGTCCTTGTCAAAAATGTAGTAATCATTTATAGATTATAGTCCTGCTGTCATCTCTCTGTTCACGGGATCATACTGAAAATATGGTCTGGTCTTCGTATGGCACCCAGCGGGAGCCTGGCCTCACGCTCCCAGCATGCATGGAGCCCCACCGACAATCCCACAGACCCCTACTCGCCTCCCACACACTGCATATGGTACTGGGTTCTGGGCAGCTGTGGGAGAGGGCAGGAGTTTTGTTCGTGGTTCCTTAGCCTACGTTTTGCTCAAAACTTACTTTTTGGGCACCTGGGTGGCTCCGTCGGTGAAGCATCTGCCTTCGGCTCAGGTCATGACCCCAGGGTCCTGGGATGGAGCCCCGCATGGGGCTCCCTGCTCAACGGGGAGTCTGCTTCTCCTCTACCCTTCCCCCCGCCAGCTCATGATCTTACTCTCTCTCAAATAAATAAAACCTTAAAATAAAAAGAAACTTACTTTTCTTTTACATGGTAATTAGGCTGGATGGCCCCATCACTCAATTTCAAGTACATTAGGTGTAAGTGACATTTTGTGAGCCGCCATAGATACGTTGTCATCTCAAATGTTCCAAATTCAAAACCAGGAAAACAGTATGGAGGTTCCTCAGAAAGTTAAATATAGAACTACCCTATAATCCACTGATTGCACCACTAGGTGTTTACCCAAAGGATACAAAAATACAGATTCTAAGGGGTACACGCACTCCGCTGTTTATAGTGGCATTATCAACAAAAGCCAAACTATGGAAAGAGCCCAAATGTCCATCGACCGATGAATGGATAAAGAAGACGTGGTCTCTATAGATACACAATGGAATATAACTCAGCCATCAAAAAGAATGAACATGCAACAATATGGTTGGAGCTAGAGGGTGTTAGGCTAAGCAGAATAAGTCAGAGAAGGACAAATATCATATGATTTCACTCATATGTGGAATTTAAGAAAGAAAACAGATGAACATACGGCAAGGGAAAAAAAAAGAGAGAGGGAAGTAAACCATGAGAGACTCTTAACGATAGAGAACAAACAGGGTTGATGGAAGGAGGTGGGTGGGTGGGGGATGGGCTAGATGGGGGATGGACATTAAGGAGGACACTTGTTATGATGAGCACCGGGTGTTGTAAGTAAGTGATGAATCACTAAATTCTACTCCCGAAACCAGTATTACACTATGTGGTAACTAACTAGAATTGAAATAAAAATCTGGAAGAAAAAATAAGTTCTAATCCAGTGACACAGAAATAGACCTTTTGGAATATGACGTATTAGTTCACTGGGGTCTGGCTTAGACATAATATTGCGGCAGATGTTCCCATAGCTAAAGGCTTGAGCTGACTCAGTGAAGGAATCTAGTCGGGGATAAGCCTACTCTCTAAATATTCTTAAATAAAGGATAACACTTGTAAGGGTCCAGATGTTAGGGGCCGGTTTTGAGCCTTGGGAGTTGCAGCGTTTCTTCTGAGATAAGAGAAGTTCTCCCTGTGTGTCTGTCCACACATCTGGTGTGATATTCAGTATGCATTCGGTGAGTCGTTACTGAGCACCTGCCCTGTGCTCCGGGGCATAGAGCAGGGAATCAAATAGACGAAGCTCCCCCTTCACGGGACTTCTGGTCTACACCTGATTCTTCAGGGTAGGTGTAGTCTTCATCACCTGTTCTCAAGCAGGGTCTCCCCAGGAACACACAGTCCGTGCGCGCGCACCTTCCTACCCACTCTGGCCGCCACATGCGCTCCATTTGCAAAATCCATTTGCTCCTCCACGTGAACGTTGCCTTATTCTGTCTCACGACCCATCCTCCCTTGGTGCTTGCAGCTGCAGCAGTTTTTTGGCAACATGTTGGAAGAGCAGCAGAGGCTCACAGTCCACGCCAAATTACAGACAATAAAGAAGAAAAATCTGGAAAACAAAACACGCAACATGAGGATGGCGGCATGGCTATGGAGGAACATGTAACCAGCACCCCTCCTGGCTGCTAGAATGGATTTCACTCACACTTTTGTCTCCCGGGGCCTCGTGAGTCTGCAAAACCACATGGGTTGTTATTTGTAGGTCAGTCACATTTGCTCCTCAGGGTCCTTCCTGTTCTTCCTGGGCTGTCCTGTTTGGCCCCGAGGCTAGTGATTCCCCAGGATGTTGCCAACCCAGGGGAAGATTTCGCTTTCCTGTTGGGCCGTGAAGCCACAGAATTTACTCGGGGTGCCTTGTAAAAACAAATTTACCTTAGAAAACCTTGCTTATTCTGTTGTGAAAGCCAGCGGAATATTGGATCATTGGCCAACTGAGCACATTCTTCTCTGAGGGAAAACACAGACTTGCAATACTCTGGATTTTATGTGGTTCAATATTTAAAAGCATCATGAGCAAATAACACAACAGTGTAAAGAAAGAGAAACCAGAAAAATAATACTCACTAGGACCTAGAGAAGCCAAGGAAACAACATTTTAAAAAGAAGGAACAGATCATTCTAGGAGCCATGTGAAGTGCCTGAAGGGCCAGACATGGGTCTTCTGTCCATTTCTCTCTTCCCACAGGGCCTATCACATTGTGCCACACATTACAGGCCACTGAAGTTTGGGGCGTCACAAAAAGAGCCAGGATCGCAGGATCCGTGACGTGCCCTTCAGATTGTGGAGGCCAGAAGGACAGGAAGGAATCTCCCTGAAGCCGGAGACTGCATCCCCACCTGTGGGCCGGACACTCACTCAGCCCAAGTTTATGAGCAAAAATAAGGATGTCAGCAGACAGTAGCCATAAGGGACTGATCTGCAGCACAAAGGGAAGTGGTCAAATAAAGAGAAAGAACGAAAAGGCTAACCACAGCAGACTCTTTACAGCTCTGCACTCAGGGGACTAAGTCGGAAATGTGGTTTCATTTGACCAAATAGAACCTGCTTATAAGTGGGGACAACTTGAAACGCATTCATCAGTTACAACGTCGGGAATTGGCTTAGTTCTGTTACCCCGGATTAAATCGGGATGGCTAAGGCAAATCATCCCACTCTAGATTTTGTGTGTGTTTAATTCTGTGTTTTCATCTTGATTTTGTTTTTGTAGAAAGGGGCTAAAACTACAGATCTCCGATCTACCTCAGAGGGATGTAAAGGTTAAGGAAGGCTTTAAATATGTCGTATGAGCTCAAGGCCATGTGATCTAGGGTTTTCTCCCCCTCTCTCTTGTGTAAGTCAATGCAGCCACAAATTAATATGCAAAAAACCAGAGTTGGCTTTTGTATTCGCTTCACAAGAAGATGCTCCCTGAGCGAGCAGGAGGCCATGGGACGTGGCCCCAAAACCAACTAAAGCACTGCCTCCTCAGACTTTGACCATGGGTCATAGGTCAGAGAGCTTTTTCTTTAAATTTAGAAATGTACAACTTAAGCAATAAAATATTACCATGTGTTCAAATTCTTCCGTGTGAGGTATTTTCCGGTGTCTTCTAGAACATTCTCTATTTCCTATCATTCCTTTGATCACAGTCTCAGCTTACAATAACCATGCCACACGTCTTCTCTCTTGCTTTTCTCTTCCTCCTCTTCCTCTCCCTCCTGTCTCCCTTGGGCTCCCTTCTTCTTTTCCAGTAACCTCTGCCTGCCTCCTGCCTGGCTGTCCGCGTCCCCCTTCCTCAGTCTTGCCACCCTGCTGTGCCCTCGGAGGCTCTGACCCTGGTCCCCCAGTGTGGGTGACGCCAACACTGCGTGATTCCACCAGAGGAGCACCTAGGCGTGGCTCTCCAGGCCATCTGTTGAAAATCAAAATCCGGTTACATCTTAGCTTCTGTGGTCATTAAACAGCACTGAAAGTGTTTATCAAATGCCCAAATATTTGGTTAAGAGTCCTTCCTCTAAATAGGAAAAAGAACTTCGAATAATGTACATTTTTTTTCTTACACGGAGGAAGCCGGTGATCCCAGATAGGCATTACATTTTATTATATCATACTTATACTTAGGATAAAATGGAGTAATTATTGCTTGATTACGGTGATCGCCATAAGTCAGGGAGCAAAACTGAGGCAGATTTGTGTAAATGGTGTAAAAACTTTATTAACCGATGAACCAGCCTATCTATTAGCACCCCAACCATAAAACAATTTCTCTGACCCATCCAGTGTACCCAGTCTGACTTACGCCGTTCACCCTAGAAAAAAGTTAACAAGGTGGACCACGTGGTCATGCGTCTTTCAGTAATTAGAAATGAAAAGTTTTCCCTCACAGTCTTCTGCCTTTTTCCTGTTCAAACCCACTCAGTGACTTGTCCTCACTGAGTCTAAGTGAGAGAACAAATGCTTTGGTCTTGAAGACATGAGATCGTATGTAATTTAGAGTTCTGGGGTCAAGCTGCCCAGCAATTTATTCTGAGGAATGAGGGAAGAAGGAAAAAGAGATGAGATTGAAGAGGGAAGTCTTCTTGGTTACTTTTCCTCTTTGCTCCAACAGATGTTTTGTTTCCATCCAAACTCTAGCAGGATTAATATGTCCAAAGCAAAGCCTTACATGGGACTTGGGAGTAAATAGAACTGCCTCCCCCACACAGAGAATCAGGAATCAGCATTCGAGACCAGCCAGCTCTTCTCTGGAATCCGGCAACATTCAGCGAAGATATTCTCTACAACACACCTATCTAGGAATTGGTTGGGCTTTTCCTCTTCTCCTTTCATAAGCAGGTTGGTCCTTAAGGTGAGAGCAAGGCAAGCCTCTCCACCATGGGGAGCCAAGGGGGAGCTGTGGAGACCTGAAATGGGTGGAAGAGCTTGGGTGAGCAAAGGGGGAGTCTACACCATGGGAAGCAGCTTGGTGCAAGATGGCAGAGCCCAAGGAAGTGAGTAGGATAACCCCACAGTGCAGGGAGGGGCTTATGACATGGAGAGTCAGAGCCCAAACAAGGTAAGAATGGGGAGTTCAAGTCCTAGTGGGGTGAAGAGGACTCCCCCAGGCCAGGGCAGTGACCCAGCATGAGGTATCAGAGCCTGAGGATGGTGAGGAGGGCATCACATGGGGTGGGCGAGAGCAGCAATAGGAGCTTGGTTACCACAGGCGAATGAATCAAATACAAAAATACGCGAATGATAATAGGACCCAGGTTTCTCACCGCTGGAGAAGAGCATAGCAAAAATTCAAAAAGAGATCTGGAATGAACCTTTGGTCATTGGATTGGAAACGGAGGTACCGATGTGAACAGTCCTCATGAGTATGATAGAGTCATATACAGAGATGTAAATATGTGTAGACGTATCATACTTTCTATGTGAAGAGATACGGATATATAGATACAGATATGGATATAGATATACATGTCAACATCAACCCTACCTTCTCAACTAAGGGGGCCCACGCGCAGCAACATCCTACTAACAGTGAGCACAGCCCAGATGTTGGCTTCTCCATGGTCTGCTGTATGAACCAGGGCTCCTCAGAGAAATGGCTGATCTCAGGGCTTTGACAGGAAAGGGACAATTGGAGATGGAACATCTTTTTGTACCGAAAGACAAGGACATGCTCAAGGAATGATGGGGACATGTCAAATCCTGATCCTTGCCAAATCGACATCACATGAATCTAATCATGAGGAAATAGCGGACAAACCCGAACTAAGGGACAGGCCACAAACTAGTCTTTGAAAGCCTCAAGGTCATGGAAGTAAAGAAAAGATAGAGGACCATCTTAGACTGAAGGAAGTTAAAGACACAGGACAACAAAGTGTAACACGTAATTCAGAACTGAATCCTTTCGCTATAAAGAACATTATTGGGACAACTGGAAACATTGGAATGAAGTCTGAGGGTTAGATACTAGAAATGTATCAATGTTAATTTTCCCACTTTGACAGGTGGGTTAAAGTGGGAAAATTAATACACATCAAGAGGTGAACTTACTTCTTAAGGATTCAGGAAAAAAAATATTTTTCTTGTCATTTCAGCTTTTCTACAAATGTGTGATTAAATAAGCTAAATTTAAAAATAATTACAAGAATTATTTTCTTTCAAACCATTTTTTTCATTCAAACTTGGTAACAGCCAAGTCTTAAAGTTTATCTGTTAAACATTTCAGTAAGCACAAACAGAAAACATAAGTTGTCCCAAAAGACTTAATGTCTTGTTTCAGCCAATATTTTCCATCTTAAACCAGAGGGACTGGGGCGCCTGGGTGATTCAGTAGGTTACGCGTCTGCCTTCCGCTCGCTCAGGTCATGATCCCAGGGTCCTGGGATGGAGCCCCACATCGGGCTCCCTGCTCAGCGGGAAGCCTGCTTCTCCCTCTCCCTCTGCTGTTCCCCCTGCCTGTGCTTTCTCTCTCACTCTCTCTAATAAATGGGTAAAATCTTAAAAAAAAAAAAAATATAGAAGTGCCTTCGAAGTTCTCTGGTTCTCTGACTACGACTCGAGCTGGTCATTTTCTTCCTGTAGGCTTCCAGCGCTCTCAGAAGTAGCCAGCCACCCCACATCCTTCCAGTGACAGTGGTCAAACACAGCAGAGCTTGGGTCCCTGAAGGCACCTTCATTCAGTAGGTACCTCATTGTAATTAACCTGATTAATGGTGCTGTCAGCGCCCCGTCCAAGGCCATAGGCAGGATCAGAATCCCACCTTGAGAGTCTCTTTCCTGCGAGCCTGCTGCCAACAGTCAGGTTCATTCTGGAAAACAGAAACCGGCTCTGCTTTTTTTGGACTGAAAGAACATACTATTTTTTAAAATTGGCATATAAGGAGCTGAACAGGTACAGAGAAACAGTAAGATAAGACCAAGAAAAAAACAAACAAACGGCAATGCATAGCTAGCACTCCTGGGGCAGGGACAACGAAGGGAGGAGGCGAGGTTATGTAGAACCTGGAGGCAGGTGGTGCTGCCTCTGAAGCTCAGAGAAAGGGCCTGCAGAGCAGGGACCCAGACCTGGAGGAGGGGGCCCCGGCCAGCAGGTGCTGTTATTCTCAGGGGACACACCAGGCTGGGTCTAGGACACCAGGGGGAATATCCCAAGAACTGGAATCCAACAGCCACCAACCCGAGGAAGAGTCATTGCCGGGGTGATGCTGGTAGAGAAGGAAGCAGAGAGGAGGAGGCAAGCCCCTGGTCCCCACTGCAGCCTTCCCGCGACCCTCGGCGCCCCCTGCTGGCAGAGCTGGCAAAGACTGCAGAGTCCGGTCCTAACCTCACACAGTGAGAAACAAGGTGAATCGGCAACCGACAGACGGTGGCTTAGTAACCCACTCAGGTCGGTGGAATTGTTCAGATTTTAACACATGGGGGAAGGAAGGCTTAAGGCCACAGCACTAGTAGAGGCAGGAGCCAGAACTTAAAACCCACTCTGTTTACTGCCAACCCTCATTTACTTTGGGATTTTCTTTTACCTTTTAATTTAGGACACGGTTAAGATACTATTATAAGTCGACAAGCCTCATTTGAAAGCTTTTAATCCACACACACCTACTGTGGACCAGAACTATAATAGGGTGTCAGGTAAGCAGCTCTTGGAAAAACAGGCAATGCTTCATGCAGACATGGCCATTTAAAACAAAACAAAACAAAACAAAAAATACTTCCTAAGAATGATTTGAGTAAGAAAGTTAAATTTGGACTTGTATTGAAAAGAAGCTTAAGGTAAGTGCATTTAAATAGGTTGTTGAGTCTACTTCGCAAACACTATTAACATAGACTTTTAGGGAATGGTCAAAATTCTAAAATTACTAGCTTCATGATATCAAATCATTATTTGCTTTGGCTTACAATTGCATTTAAAAAAAATTACAGATTATAGAGGTGCCGGGCTGGCTCAGTCAGAAGAGCGTGCGACTCTTGATCCTGGGGTTGTGAGTTCGAGCCCCATGTTGGGTGTAGAGATTACTTAAATAAATAAAATTTTAAAGAAATTATAGATTATACAGGAAGTATAGCCTAAGGATACTTTATTGATAGAAATAAACTTTACTGATACAAATATAACTCACGAATATGCTCATATTACTCATGAAAGCTAGCTTTAGCTAAAATGCTCTGTTCCTGTGGTTTTCATAAACCATGTGCAGCCATAGAAAGGATTTAAGTGAATCCAAAGTTTAAAATATCAGAAAGTTAATTTAAAATGAATTCTAAATGCAGATGTTAAATTTGTGCAAAATATTAGTGCTTAATTTGCTGATGCTATTTGAGTGTCCTTATTGATTTTTTCCTTCTAAAGCAATTAATGATTTTTTTCTTTGTGTATATTTTTTCTTTCTTTCTTTCTTTCTTTCTTTCTTTCTTTCTTTCTTTCTTTCTTTCTTTCTTTTTTTCTTCCTTCCTTCCTTCCTTTCTTTTTCTTTTTCTTTGTTTCTTTATTTCAGTAGGCTCCACACCGAGTGCAGAGCCCAAGGCAGGGCTCAAACTCACGACCCTGAGATCAAGAC